ATAGTTGTGTGAACCATAAATGTAAACAGAATTTTATGTGGGCCCACAGGAACTTGGGTCCCTAGACAACTGCCTAGTATGTGCCTAACCGTAAATCCTCCCCTGCTCAGGACTCAATTTCAGGGTCTTTGCTCATTTCAATTCAATTCAATTCAGTTTATTTATATAGCGCCAAATTCACAACACATGTCATCTCAAGGCACTTTACAGTTCAACCAGNTTTACAGTTCAACCAGATCATACAGTCAAATTGATACAAAGTTTTCTATCTAAGGAAAACCAGTTGATTGCATTGACTCATTGACTCAAATACAATCCCCCACACTAAGCATGGTTTATCTGTAACTCCTTCCCCCAGGATCTATTTTCAGAAAACAAAAATCTCCTTCTATTGCTTTGCTAATGATAGTCAAATCAATGTAGCTTTACGCGAAGCATGGTCAGTTAAGCCTCTTCCGTTGTGTCTTCAGGATATTCATCTTTGGATGGCCCTAAACGTCCTACATTTTAATATAAAAAGATTTGACTGAGGTTCTTGCTTTCGGATCCCCTTACTCTATGTTTGTGATGCGTTACACAGTTAAATTTTAAAGCCTGTACTTCATTTGTACTGCTATGTCTTTTCCTGTTTCTTTGCCTTTTTAAGGTTAAGTGCTTATGCTTAACGTTAACATTTATTTGCGACAGACATATCTTTTTCCAATGAATCAACACTGTACAAATTGTCATTCATTGGATTTTCTTTTTTAATATCTGTTGTGTTTTACAGAGCTGAATAAATATCAAAGGAGGACTAAAATGAGTGTATTAATTCAACAATGGGTCAAAATGGGTTTAGTTTGACTAAAAATACACTTTTAGAAATGCTCAAGGGTTAACTCTGGTGTAAATTGGAGGTATTCTATTATATGCTAAGTCCATGGCAGGAAACTAATCAGATGGAGTGAACTTTATTAATCCTGGCAGGAATAATATAATTTTGAGTTTCCTTATTGTCTGTAAAATTCATATGATCAAGCTAAAGGGGTATCTGACCAAATAGAAGTTGGGAGTTTGGAGAATAGTACCTGTTTGACCTGTAATGGAATAGACAAAAAAAGAAATTCAAACTTAGACATTTAGTGCCTCTTTTCAATTATATAATATTTTGTTTAATCATACTACTCTGGAAAAAATGGTTAAAATAAATCCTAGCAATAAATATGGCATTTGAGCTAACAAGGAGTGTGTATACATTTTTGCCAGGAGTAGGTTTTGAAGTAAACAATAATTAGTTAGTGTTTAGTTAGGGTTAGTTTAGTTAGGGTAGTTAGGGTTAGTGTTTCTTAAATTCAACTTCAGCTCTGTACAATGAAGCCAGTCTATGGAATGAGAGCAAGATACAGTGGTCTGCAAAAATTTGGGCAACTTTGTTCATTTCCATGATTTTCCTTCATAAATCGTTGGTTCTTAGGATATAAAAAATCAGTTAAATATATCATATAGGAGACAAACACAGTGATATTTGAGAGGTGAAACAAAGTTTATACCATTTACAGGAAGTGTGCAATAATTCTTTTAACAAAATTAGGCATGAGCATAAATTTGGGCACTGTTAGCCAAATGATTTAAAAATCTCTAGAACCAATTATTGGAAATCAAAATTGGTTTGGGAAGCTCAGTGACCCTTGACCTACATACACAGGTGAACCCAATTATGAGAGAGTATTTAAGGGGGGGCAATTGTAAGTTTCCCTCCTCTGTGAATCTTCTCTGAAGAGTAGCAACATGGGAGTCTCAAAACAACTGTCACATGACCTGAAAACAAAGACTGTTCACCATCATGAATTAGGGGAAAGATACCGAAAGCTGTCTAAGAGATATTAGTTGTCTGTTTCGACAGTTAGGAACATAGTCAGGAAATGGAAGACCACAGGCACAGTTCAAGTTAAGGCTCGAAGTGGCAGACTAAGGAAAATCACGGATAAACAGAAGCAAAGAATGGTTAGAACAGTCAAAGTCAACCCACAGGCCAGCACCAAAGACATACAACATGATTTTGCTGCAGACGGAGTCATTGTCCATCGTACAACTATTGCGCACACTTTACGCAAGGAGATGCTGCACGGAAGAGTGATGCGGAGGAAGCCTTTTCTCCGCCCACATCACAAACAATGCCGCTTGAGGTATGCTAAAGCACATTTGGACAAGCCGGCTTCCTTTTGGAATAAGGTGCTGTGGACTGATGAAACTAAAATTGAGTTATTTGGACATAACAAGGGGTGTCATGCATGGAGGAAAAATAACACAGCATTCCTAGAAAAACACCTGCTGCCTACAGTAAAATTTGGTGGTGGTTCCATCCTGCTGTGGGCCTGTGTGGTGTGACTTAAAGAGAGCTATCCATGCTCGGAAACCATCAAACCTGAATGAATTAGAGGTGTTTTGTAAAGAGGGATGGTCCAAAATACCTCCAACCAGAATCCAGACTCTCATAGGAAGCTACAGGAAGCGTTTAGAAGCTGCTATTCCTGCAAAAGGGGGATCTACTAAATATTGAGTTATTTATTTTGATTGTGGTGCACAAATTTATGCACATGCCTAATTTTGTTAAAACAATTATTGCACACTTCCTGTAAATGGTATAAACTTCGTTTCACTTCTCAAATATCACTGTGTTTGTCTCCTATATGATATATTTAACAGATTTTTTTTATCCTAAGAACCAACGATTTATGAAGGAAAATCATGGAAATTAACAAGGTTGCCCAAACTTTTGCAGACCACTGTATATGTCTAGGAACTGAAATGGACAACATTGTCTTCCCTCCGTATTTCTTTGATGACTTTAACCAAGCAAGCACTAATGAAGAATGTGTGCTTTTCCTGGGTAACAAGTGAAGCCGGAAAAAGACAAAAAGTATCCAACATAAATGGAACCTCATTAAAGTCAAAGAGGCTTACTAAAGTGACAGCTAGGTCAATTACAAAATGATAGCAGAGGTTACCATTAACACTGAGACTGTGTCACATTGTCACACTAAATATTCTTTATAAGCCAGAGAGGGTTACCAGTAGATTTTGCTCATGTGGCAAGACAGGATTATTATAGCCAAAGTGGGGGTTTATGGAACTTATGAGACCAATTTTTATTTCAGAACATAAAGAAACAGCCCTGATTTCCTTTGATGAGGCTTTGGAACCTTTAAACGTGGGTTAATAACAAACAGGAAGTCTTTACCAATAAAAAAGCCCTGTCTTTCTTAGGGATGAGCAACCTGAAGCTGCTGTTAGGTTGATTTATCCTCACATATTCCCAAGATCGGCACAGCCAAGATAACATATACTTTGTGTGTGTTCTCATTGTTATCGTGTGGTGGAGTAAACACAGAGATCGTCACGATAAACATGCAACTATATCAATCCATCAATACTAAGACTTAAAAAAATATATTTTTTCAAGTTGGGCTAATTATAGAACATTTGCATTGATAATTGTTAAACATTTTTTAAACCAGCAGTCTGCTAGCATTACTTTGTGTAATTATTTTGGATTGGCAAACAAATGAATTTCTTTGTGGATGACCAAGTTGGTTAGAGTTTAATTGATCAATATATTTTACAAGGCCTTTCTGATCCCTCCGAAAGAAATGCTATTTAGTGATATATTGCAAAATAAGTGAGGATTATTCCAACTCTCAGTATCAATATGTTTAAAATATATTTGCAAGATGCTATATTTCTGAATTAGAAAAAAAATATTTGTTCCTTGCTACTGTCAATAACAGTCTAATTCAACATGTTTTACAGCTTCCAAAGAAATCCAGTGTTAGTGACTTGATCAGTGTACAAGGACTTCTTTGACTCTGGCTTTCTCCTCTGCAGTTATATCACACACCTTTTAATTAGTGCTGTGGAGGGTTATTGTTTTGGTGCCTGTTGGGTCGAGGTTTGCTACTATTCAGCTTCAATAAACCAGAAACCTAGTAAAACGTTGTAAAATACACACACATACACAAACACACACACACACACACACACACACACACACACACACACACACACACACACACACACACACACACACAC